TGGAGAGAAAATGTTTTGAGAATGATGTACAAATGCGCTTTACACAATTGATGTGTGTATGGATTGTGATAACAGTTGTATGAGCCCCTAATAACATGTTTAAAAGAAAGAAATATGAAAGAAAAAAAAAGAACAAACTTCAACAAAAAAAAATTCATGCCTTCGAGTTGATTCTGACTCACAGCCACCGTAGGAAAGAGTAAAAGTACCCCTTTGAGTTTCGAAGTCATTAAATCTTTATAGGAGTGGACAACCTCATCTGTGGGTTCAAACTGTTAACCTTCTGGTTAGCAGTGAAATGCATAGCCCACTGTACCACCAAGCTCCCCTAAAGGAACACAGCAGCAGTCCAGTGAGTGCCTCAGAGCTGCCACATAAGCAGAGCGTTGTTTTCTCTGTATCCATTCCTCTAGCAGTTAGGAACTGTGCCAGATAGATGCAACTGGAACAAAGAGAATATTATTAGAGTCTCAAAAAGAAAAAGTTATTTCCTAGGGCTTGCCTTATAGACCAGAGGCTAAAATGTTTAATAAACCAATATAAATATTTTGGTTGTGTGTACAAACCTGAAAATATAATTTCTTATGATTTTAAATTAACTTGAAAATTATCATGTGATCTTTTATTTCAGATATTTTCCAAATATGGTAAAGTTGTAAAGTAAGTATTCTCATTGAATTTTGGAAGTTCATTTTAAAATTTATTTAAAATTCCTTTATTACTATTTTTAAAATGGAAGTAGATTTACTTTTCTGGTATAAAACAGATACTTGATATAACAAAGAAAAAAACTACTGTTGGCTTATTTGTATTAATATTTTATAAATACTATATTATAAATTTATAAACATTTCATTAATTTTTTTCAAAAGGGCCCAGTTCTATATGTATAGTTTTGTTGAACATTGTGGTTAACATTGTTTAATGCACATAGTGAACAAGAGTTCTGGTTTTGGAAGCTAGGGCATCCATAGAGGAATCCTGCTTATTCCACTATCTCTGTAATCTCTTTATCTCATCCCTCAAGTGTTTGATTACTCCTCATTTTAGTATTTCATTTATCATATAATCCTAATCATAGTTTGTTTGCTTGATTCATTCTTCCTAATTTCCCTGGACTTTGAAGAATAGGTAACTTTCTTGTAAAGTGAATTTGTTTATCTCACTTTCTACATTATTTTATTACTTAGCTCCTTGTAAAGCTTTCATTTTCTAAGCATTTATTAATAATATCTGTTTATTGCCTTTTTAAAAAAAAGAAAAAGTATTTTTTTTATGTTTTAAGGGTTACGATAATGAAAGATAAAGACACCAGGAAGAGTAAAGGAGTTGCATTTATTTTATTTTTGGATAAAGAATCTGCACAAAACTGTACCCGAGCAATTAACAACAAACAGGTAAGCCATTTATCACCAAAATTTTTAACACATCTTTCGGTTTACCTTAACTAAAAATGTAGAAATGCAAAGGTTAGTAAGCTTAATGATAGCAGAAGATTCGGGGGTGGAGGGCTGGGTTCCCTAAAACTTTAGTAGTAGGATTCAAGAAATAAAACACAATAGAATTTCTAAATCTAAGCCAAATTACTAAAATGAAAATATAAAATTGGATTGAGAGTTGACAAATGGGATCTATTAACTAGGGTTGCTGTGAAAAACGCCCTCCATTAACTTTTTCTCTGTTTTAGTTATTTGGTAGAGTGATAAAAGCAAGTATTGCTATTGACAATGGAAGAGCAGCCGAGTTCATCAGAAGGCGACACTACTTCGATAAATCTAAGTGTTATGAATGTGGGGTGAGTAAACCTAAAACGTAATGGAATTTTGTACATTTTTAGCAAAACTCAAGCCTTCTCATCCCCAAGCCTTCAGAAGCTAATGAAAGATCTAGCAGAGAAAGGCAGACCAGATGCAGGGTCTAAAGAATGCTCTCTACTGCCAGCTTATTTCTCGTGGCTTGTCGTAATATTCTACCTCCCACTTCTGAAATGGCTCACCTTATACTCAGCAGTCACAGCATTGATTTAATCAGCATCTTCCCTCACCTTCTTAACCTCACCCAAACTTCCCTCACCTTCTTACCCTGACACTGCACTGCACTTACTTAACCCAATATATCCAAAACGTCATTTGAATCAATATCTTGAACATTTTTACAGTACGTTTCCTCTTTATATGAAGTCTTCAAAATCCAGAGTATATTTTACTTTAACCATACATATTAATTCAAACTAGGCACATTTCAAGTGCTCAGTTTGCTACATGTGGCTGGTGGCTACCGTAATTCGAAGTGCAGGTGTGGTTTGCTAGCTGCCAGAAGCATGTGAAAGTAATTAGCAAAAGTGACGAAGACTTAAAATGACTTATTTTTAAGACAATCAAACAGAAATAGGTTTGTCTATATTTCATAATTTTTTTTTTTTTACATTTAGGGTAAATGCTCCATAAAAATTTTGAGCTGTTTTTATCAGAACCGGAATCTTGAAATTTCAAATGTGTGAGGTCTTCCCTTCTTTTACCTTTTAGTGAAACATCTAAAATAGTTCCTAATTATACATATAGTTTGTTGTAGGTGATAATAACATGTCTTCCTTCTGAATGTTAAAGTAGTAAATATGATTATTAATTTGTTTAAATTCCCTGTATGACAGTATCCTCCTTTAAATTCGAAGACCTTTTAGTATTAGGATGCCGGACAAGTTTTGGTTAATAATAGCCACAATTTTTTCTCCCTTTCTCTAATGGGAAACAAAAGGAAAATGGTCATTTAAGTTATGCATGTCCTAAAAATATGCTTGGAGAACGTGAACCTCCAAAGAAGAAAGAGAAAAAGAAAAAGAAGAAAATTCCTGAACCAGAAGAACAAATGTATGTGTATCCACTCTTAGTGAATATATTATTATATTGCATCTGTCCTGAGACCGCGGACAGAGCCTCATTTGGTCATGTTTTCATACTGCAGTGAGGAAGTAGAAGAAAGTGAAGATGAAGGAGAAGACCCTGCTCTTGACAGTCTCAGTCAAGCCATAGCTTTCCAGGTACCACTTCTTTTAATTTTTTCCTGAAAGGCAGCATGCCATAGCTGCCTTGGGCTAATTGGCTTTATGTTCCTACTTCATCGATCACCTCCTCATGATAACCCTTGTCTTTCCACTTCACCTCCTGAACTTTAGGAAATCATTAGATCAGTGTGAGAAAAGTTTGCAATGGTTTTTCTAGATTTTAAGGGTCCCATAACAGCTTTAGTCTTAAACGCTTTTCATTATAGAATCAAGCAAAACTATTTGACTAAAAGTAAGGTCAGCTCAACAGAAAATGTTTTATTCTGTCAAAGACATTATTTTTAAAATAGAAACTTCACTCTAAAGTAAAACCCAAAACAAGTTTTTATGGTATACAACCTCCTAATTTTGTGTGTAAATTTTTTGTGTTAGTAGATTTGGCAAGTTAAAAAACATTTCCCCTTTTCACATATAGCATTTCAGCCTCCAGCAGGGACGGCAAAGAGGTTTCATTTCAGATGCCTGTTAATTAGTAGACAATGACTAAAGTCATGTTGAATAACATTGGGAAACTGAGATAGAACTTGGCAAAGCAAAAATAAAATAAAAAACCAACACCCTGAGGGAGTGGAATTGCCTGTCTTGGCATGGGAGGGTGAGGAGCCATGAAAGTTGTACGCTCTTCCATGTTTTAAATTAATGTACCACATCCCCTTACAGAAGGGTCGCGGGGAGGAGACCAGCTAGTCAGGGTGCAGTGCAGCAACGATGAAACATACAACTTTCCTCTAGTTCCTAAATGCTTCCTCCTCCCTCCCCGCCTACTTTCATGATCCCAATTCTACCTTACAAATCTGGCTAGACCAGAGGATGTACACTGGTACAGATAGGAACTGGAAACAGGGAATCCAGGGCACGTGATCCTTTCAGGACCAGTGGTGAGAGTGGTGATACTGGGAGGGTGG